CTCTTGCTCAGTGTAGTATATGGGTTGTCCCTTTTCACGTTGCGCCATCTGTTCCTTTACCGACAGTATTAATACTGAACTGTTGATAAGTGGTTTCACTCCTTATCGACTGTGGTGATATGCTGTGTTTGGGTGATCAGCTGTCTTTGTGATGAGGAGCGTTTAGCATGTGTGCCACTGTTTAAGTGTAGCGGTGCTTTGTTTACCTGATTTAATTCTTCCATAATCATCTGTCATACTAGTGTCTCTGTAATTAAATCTTCATTATGGCTGGGAATGAGGTGTTAGAAAAACGTTTTGAAGATATAATCAGAATTTTGGAGAGTCAAAATAACGTCATGTTGGAGATTCGAGCAGACTTTGCTAAGTCCTCGGCTCGTCTGGAGCAGCACAACAGAAGAATTAGTAGTGCTGAATTGAGAATTGCTGATAACTCGCAGGCGATTGGGGCAATTGAGATGGAGAATAAATATCTGAGGGAGGACGTGGATGACTCGTATATCCAGATTGAATTATGTAAACACAGACATCTTAAAAATGGAATCGAGATTGTTGGTGTTCTATTGAAGGCGAAGGAAAGTGTTGAGCAATTAGTCATCAATCTACTCAAACTGCTGGAGATGGACATTGACGAGAAAGAAATTAATACGTGTTTTCGTGCGGGTAGTTTATCCAGGGCCCTAAGTACTGGCGAGATAAGTCATCCTCCTATTTATCTAGATCCTGTGCGTGAGTGTATTAAATCCAAGGTCTTGGAGACGCTTAAAATCAGGAGAAGAGCTATCTCTAGTGTTGAACTAGGCTTCACTGATGTGGCGATCTCAATAATTTATATTAATGAACGTCTTACGCCTTATATGAAACAAATCCTCACTGAAAGTCGTCAAGCCAAAAAAGAGGGTCTGTTGCAATATGTCTGGATTAGAAATGGCATGATCCATGGTAGGGTTGATGATGGGACCCCAGTATTAACGTTCCTGCGTAAGGGAGATGTTGTGGATGCTATTGCACCAGCTGAGTCTGAGGGTAGGGGAGTTGATGATGATGATGAGGAGGGCGTTGATGAGGCGGTGGCTGATGGAACGACTAATCGTAAGGACTCGAATGCTGAATCACACGAGGATTACTCAACGGCTGTGGATGCTGGTCCATCTGATCTTCCAGTTAAAGTTGACAAAAGGTCAAAATCGAATCAATTGGAGAAGCTGGCTGCGGATATACATCGCCAGGATAAGGGTCGAAATACTCGTGCTTCGGCTAGGGCTAAAAATGGACAATATAAGAAATAGCAATTAGGGATTACTGATGATGTGATAAACAATTACTTGAACATTGAAAATTTATATATATGTCATTTACATTGCCAATCGCTTCCCGCACATCATGCGGATTTAATCACTTTGCTCGAGGGTAGGAATTATCACATCATCGGTCTCTCGGAATCTTGGCTCAAGCCACATCATAGTGATGATTTTGTATGTTTTCCAGGGTTTCAAATATTTCGCAATGACAGGACGGGCAAGGGAGGTGGTGGAGTGGCTATGTACGTTAGGGAGGATCTCAGTGTACGGATAGTTGCTTCCTCGGAGGGAGAATTCTCAGGTAATTCTGAGTATTTAACGGCTGAGATTTTTGCTAATAATTTATCTAAGTTTTTAGTGAGTGGTCTATCGTGTACCACATCTCAAGTATCCCAATGATTTCTGTGAGTCACAGTCTAGATTGTCCCCGTCATATAGTCTGGTTGTTGTTATGGGTGATTTCAATTTAGATTTGAATGGAAATAAAGCAAATGGTGAGCTGACCAGTGATAACAGATATATGAGACGGGTTGCCAAAGAACTCAACTTTGATATTGTTCCTTTTAAGTGTACTCATCATGTAGGTGACTCTCACTCCTGGATTGACATTTTTCTGATTAGTGATCTCAGTAAGATAGTTAATACTAGTCAGTCAAGTAATTCCATCTCCAATCACGACCTCATTGAAATTGAACTTATGACTAAAATGCCTAAACCTGATCCCCGTGTTATTGATTATAGAGATTTAAAGAATATGGACAGAGTGAATTTTCTGGATGATTTATCATTATGTGACTGGGGTAGTTTTTATAAGTTTGACTCTATTGACCGTAAAATTGAATTCCTTAATGAGTCGATCATGAGTACATTGGATAATCATGCTCCATTGATACAAGTGACAGTTAAGAAAAGAGCTGCCCCGTGGCTCACTGATGTTATTAAAGCTGAGATGAGGAAACGTGATGCCGTACGGGCTAAAGCGCGTCGCACCTTGGACCCCTCACTAATGACTGAATTTAGGGCGTTAAGGGATTGTGTTAAAAAATTAGTATCAACAGCTAAAGGTACANTCATGAGGAATCCAGTAATTAAATGATAATTTCTCAATTTACATCGGGTAGTTTTCGTAATGACCGTGAATATGGAAACTAAAGTCACATATCATAAGCTGAGATGAGGAAACGTGATGCCGTACGGGCTAAAGCGCGTCGCACCTTGGACCCCTCACTAATGACTGAATTTAGGGCGTCAAGGGATTGTGATAAAAAATTAGTATCAACAGCCAAAGGTACATACTACAGGGTGAGATTCGAGAGTACTAGCTGCTCCAAAACTCTCTGGTCTGAATTGGGTTCTCTAGGGATTGGTAGGGTGAAGAATAACTCGAGTATTGAGCTATCGGTTGGGTTGGATGATTTGGCAGGATATTTTGGTTCAATCTGCAACCCTGATAGGGATAGTACAATGTTATATAATATTAGAGAATCTAATCTGGAAATACCTGTTGATTATGTATTTTCTTTGGTGAACATCACTCTAGCAGATATTGAAAAAGCCCTAAACTTCTCCAATTCTAAGGCGGCTGGCCCGGACTTATTGTCTCCTACTATTGTAAAAATCTCCTTCCCAATCATTGCCAGACCTCTCTTGCATATTTTTAATTTTTCGATCCGATTTTGCATTTTTCCATCGTTATGGAAAGATGCTATGATTCGTCCCATTCCCAAAAGCAAGAATCCCAAGGAATGTGCCGATTATCGTCCGATTGCCCTGACATGCTTTCTCTCAAAAATATTTGAGAAAATTGTTTCATTGCAGATGATTAAATTTTTGGAGACGAATAATAAGTTAGACCTTTATCAGTCAGGTTTTAGGGCGGGGATGAGTACACAGTCTGCGCTCCTTAATGTTATTGATGACGTCAAGTTAGCTATTGAGAGTAAAATGATATCGGTTTTAGTACTTTTTGACTTTACGATGGCTTTTGACATGGTGGAACATGCCATTTTGTTGTGCAAACTTGAGGAGTTAGGTTTTTCTGCTCAGACCTGTAATTGGATCAGATCATATTTATCTGGGAGACGTCAATGTGTTTTGGGTGATAACGGCTCTAAATCTAAGTGGATATCAGTTACCAGGGGAGTGCCGCAGGGAACTATTTTTGGGCCATTATTTTTTATATATTTCAGTCATGATCTTTGTTCTAGTCTTACATATTGTCAACATATTAGTTATGCTGATGATCTTCAAATTTATCTGCATTGTTTGCCCAATGATATTGAAATGGCAGTGAGTTTAGTAAATGAGGACATTTCCAAGATTTGGAAATGGACGCTGGATAACAAACTAGTCTTAAATGAGAAGAAGACTCAGGCTCTGTTAATAGGTTCTAATAAGTACACTCATTCAGTAGATGTGGCTCAAGTGCCTAAAATTAAAGTTAATGGAGAGGATATTCAGTTCTCTATGGTAGTTAAAAATCTTGGTGTACTTATTGATCATAAGCTTCAATGGAAGGAGCAACTATTGTCCATTTTTGGTAAAGCGCTAGGTACTCTTAATAAACTCAAAAGGGTTACATCTTGTCTTCCTATTAATTTGAGAATTCATCTTGTTAAGGCATTGATTTGTCCCTTCGTCGATTATGGAAATCTCCTACTCACTGGTTGTAATGTTGAGACTGACTTAAAGTTAAAAAAGATATTGAATAGTTGTATTAGATTTGTTTATGATCTTAAAAGAGATGTGAGTATTTCCATATATTATGATCGATTGAGGTGGCTGATGCCTTTTTATAGACGGCAATACTTTTTAGGGAAATTGATGTACAAAATTCTCCATTGCAACATGCCCTCTTATCTTGCCGATAGATTTACGTATAAATTTGTAGATGAATGTAGACTACGCAAGTCATCGATGTTGGACCTGAAAATTGGTAATTCTCGAACAAATAATGGCTGTGCTGCTTTCTCAGTATATGGTGCTAAATTCTGGAATGAGATTCCTTCGCATATTAGAGAGATGTCGAATATTGGCGTTTTTAGTTATGCCCTTTTTGAGTTCCTGATAGATAAACAGAGAGAGTCTATTTTTATTCCAGCTAGTTAAACATAAACATTAATTACTCTATTACTTGGTGGTTCTTCCTTTATGAGGTATTGTTTTGTTAAATGACTGTGATTAATTAAATTATGGACCTCGTGATGATATTTGCTATTATTCCCTGTCTCCTTTTTTTTATATACTCTTCGATGTTGGATGTTGGAAAGAGAAAAAATAAATAAAAAAACAGAATATATATATATATATATATATATATATATATATATATATATATATATATATATATATAATAATAATAATTTATCAACAAATAAATAATAAAAATAAATAAATAATCTAACCAAACAAATTATTAAATAAATAAATAAATAAATGAATCACTGAATAAATAATTAATTATATATGAAATAATGAATTAATTAAGGATTGAATAAAGAAATAATAAACTTGAATATAACAGACTAATCACCAATAAATACTAAAAAGAATCTGTATTTTTCGATGTAATATGAGATTGCCCTTAGGGGATTTATGTATCTCAGGGCATCAATAAAAGCATATAATAATAATAATAATAATGCTGGGAAATTCTCTCTTGGAGCCTCTAGCAATCGGAATGAAAGCTTAAATGCTACCATGGCTAGTAAAGCACCGAAGTCTCGGTGTTACAGCATGACTGCTTCCGCAGACTTCAGATTTGTTTGTTCCGTTGGGCAAAAAACCCTAGGTGAAACCTACACTCAGGAAATAGCCGAGAAGATACATCTGTTACCTGGAAAACATCACCTTCGTTACATAGCAAAGACAGATAAATTACTTCTACAACGAAGAGCCATCACGAACATGAAAGAGTTTAAGAAACATCGTAATGAGAATAAGAAAGCCCGCAGTGCTTTGAGACATCTGAGAGAGAATAGTGAAGGTGTTACCTATGGGAGTAATTGTGGTCTATTGATTCAGTCTGATGTGCCTGATGAGAAAGAGAATCAAGAGATAGAGGCTGATGATGGAATCGATTCTTTCATCCTATTCGATTTGAAAACATCCAGTTTAAGACGAGACTGCGATATATTGCAAATTGCAGCTGTATGTGGTCAAGATAGCTTTGATATTTATATCAATCCTAGGCAACCAATTGCTCCAAGTGCATCGGCAGTGACTGGTCTCATGAACTGCAATGGGACTCTTCTGTTACATGGGAAGTTTGTACAATCTGTAGCATTGAAAGTTGCTCTCGAGAAATTTTTGGAGTGGATTGAAAATTTGGGGAAGAGTATTTTGATAGCTCATAATTTGGGTTTTGATGGTCCCAGATTGTATGACTCAATCAAAAAATACAACCTTGAGGATAAGTTTTCCACCGTAGTTCATGGATTCTTGGACACACTGCCACTCATTAGATCTATAACGGGTAAGAAGGGCAAGGGGGAATGCTCTCCGGGTGGGCTAGCCAAATGTCTAAATGTCGTTGGTATTGGGGATCACAATGCCATTATTGATTGTAAAATTTTATCAAGAATATTGTATGCATTGAAAATTTCAAACACAATGTTACTGAATAATGTAAAAATTTACAATGAGAAAGTCGATGAATGGAATCATCAAGATCAAAATGATGTTTACCTAACCCAATTGCAACCTCTGGAAAATGTTTTGGGAGTTGCCACTCGTACGAAATTGCCTGCTGCTGCTATCACGCTTACAGATCTCAATAACGTACATTCCATGCTTGGAGGTGATGGAGTTATCAATTTGTTCAAAGAAAACATTAAGAATAAATCGATGGCTCCAATTCAAGCAAGATGATCCAAAAAATCGTCGATTTTTTGACTGTAAAGGCTAAAAAATAGAAATTTCTATTCATTCTTCACTAAAAAGTATAATCCAAAAGAAGAGAAATGGATTCCAAAGAGTATCATTTAGTTATGCTTTGAATGAATAATTTATTGAGGATGAGATTCTATTGACGTCGAAATTAATAACTCATCCATTATTTTATGACTGTTTAACAAGATAGATAAACGTTGATCGTACTTTCTTATATTTTTTACGAAGCATAATTTCTTTCATTTATAACTTCGTTTACAGATTTTATCCATTCACCTATCCACGGAGCAACCCAAATACTATGCACTTTTGTATTTGGCGCGTTCCCATTTATCTCTAGAACTGTTGCGACGCTGTCGCATGTTCGAGCTGCGCGCGCAGGAATTTTAGTCGACGAAAAATTTTCAATGTTTTTTCAAGTTTTCGTTCCGAATTTTTGATTTGATCGATGTAAAAAAATATAGCGATTGTGCGTTGGATCATTTTTTAAGTGTGTTCAAAGTTTCAGTACGATAGAAGCATTTCTCCGATTTTTTTCTAAGATTTTGTGAATTTCCCATAATAACACGAGTTAAATTGCTTTTTTTAAAATCATAACTTTGTCCTGGGGTATCAAAAAAAATCTGGAATTTTTCATACGGTTCTGTAATAGATTGGAGAAGCTTTAAAAAAAATTTCATCAATTTCTTATATTTTTGAGAATGTATGTCGAAAATCCTTAAATCAACGGAGGCAGTTATCGTAACCATCGTTCAACTTCCACTTAAGGGCATCTCAACAAATTTTTTAAGCCGTTATTTAATGAATTTGAAACATTTTTTTTAGTTATCGTAAAAAAAACGATTTTTGTAAAAATCCGAAAACTTTAAAAATGCGTTGATGAATTGAATTTCAATTAATGGCAGTACATGGGGCTCAATAAGACCTACATTTGAGAAAAAAAAGGTTGAATTCCAATTGTTGAACTGGCGAATAATCGAAGAAAATTTTGTTACATACGTACATACATACATATACACGTACGAACGCGGTCTAAAAATTGCATTTTCGGACTTTTTGAATCATAATGGGTTGATATAACACAAAAAATCGAAAACTTGAATTTGGCCAATTACAATGCTTCCATTCGGAAACAAAAAACAAATATTAGAGTTGCCACCAATGGAGGCTGATGGTTTCGTATCTCTTTCTCAATATCGTCAAACTACTTCTCCATTCATCTCTTAGGATGGATTGAAGATTCCTGAGAAGATCTACAAAGAAGTGTTCAAATATTTTTAAATTGTGTGTTTTGTACTTTGCCGAAAGTAGTAATTTATATTTATATGTCTGAAATTGTATTTTTCTATCAAAATCGACAAATACATTAATAAACAAAATTCAATACATCTCATTATACAGTGTTTTCAATTCATACCCTTATGTTTAACCCTCGAAACATAAATGTGATTATTTTAAACTCACAATATTTGACTAGTATAAAACGAGTTGATAATATTTTATTATTATGATATGAAGCTGAAACTAGCGCAATATTTTGACGACGAAAACATCAATCTAGAGGATTTTTAGGATTTAAGGGTCAAACAATCATATGAACAAACTTTTTCAAAGGGCGAACGAGGTTGCTCATGGCTTAAAAATATTCCTACATTCCTAAATTTGCTTAAATCGAATCGTCCACTGGTGAATCTTTTGCTAGTTTCAGATATATGTGGACGTCCACATGAAAAGAGATCACTTTGTCGACTCTAGTCTCCGAGATATTTACGTTTTTGTGTCAGCAACTCCCATTTGCACCAATGTTAAATTGTTTTTTCCATCTTCTCCAACGATGTCATTTTTGACCCTATGAAGATCATTTTGGGCTCAAAATGTGCGGAATGTTATCAATATTATCAGAGTATACATAACACCTTATCGACAAAGTGGTCCCTTTTCATGTGGACATCCACATATTGTTATGATTTCATAGTCCATATTTATTACATAAAATTCACCGACGAATCATTGTTCGACTCTTTCAATTTCCCCACCAATTTTATTGAAAGTCTCAAAAAAATCTGGAAAAACTTATACTTTTATATGTTTTGAAAAGTATTCTTTGTAAATTGTCAACTTTTTCAGTTTTTTCTATCATTCGTGGTGGAAATAAGTGGATCCGAAAATTTTTTTAAAAAATGGATATCTGAGATAGTCGAGATCAGAAAAAAAAGTTTAGAAAAAAATTTAGTTTCCAATCTGATTTTTTTAAATAAATATTTTCTCGTGAGAAAAAAACGAGTGTAGAGAGTTCAAACTCCGAAATTGTTATCATCCGAATGGAAGCTTTGTAATCGTTCAAAATTAAGTTTCCAAATTATTGTGTCAGGGTAACTGAATATGGTCTAAAAAGTCTAAATATGCGATTTTTAGATGGGGTCTGTATGTATGTATGTGTGTATACTTTTTTCCAAATTTTTTTCGCAATTTTCTTCACAGGAGCTTGATGAAATTTCATGAATTTTTCCATAGATATAGACGTTAATAGGCTCATCGACACCAATTAAAGTTGAATTATTCATAAAGTTTGTGAAATATTGGTATTTTTTGAAAAATCGATTTTTCGACGCTCAGTTCAAGAATTGTTATCAGAATGAAATGAATCATGGCTTAAAAAATTTGTATTGATAGCCTCTTGATTCTATCAGAATATGATGCGGATCTTGTCCATTACTGTTGAGCTACAGCATATAGTTTGTGAAATTTTTGTTTAACAGTCATATCAATGAAATCATGGCTCACAAAGATTGTTTTGATGCTTTCTCGATGAAGTGCAATGGTCATGAAAACAGCATAACTATTTATTAAGTTGCATAGTAGCAATATGAAACTTTAGGTCATACGGAGGTCATATGGGGGTCATATATGGGTTATATGGGGTCATATAAAAGTTGTACGGGTGCATATGGGGGTTATATGAGGTCATTTGGATGTTATCTGAGGTCCATATAGGGTTTGTATGAGGTCATATTGGAGTAATATGGCATTATATGGGGGTCACACGGGGTCATGTGGGGGTCACATTGGGCCATATGTGCCCATATAGGGTTATATGGAGGTCATATGAGGTTATATGGAGTCAAATATAGGCGTCAAATGAGAGTCATATGGTGTTATGGGGTCATACAAGGATCGCATCAGCTCATACAAGAGTCATTTGGGAGTCATACGGGATCATATGGAGTGATATGCAGTCATGTGGGCTTATATAAGAGTCATATGGGGCCACATAGATGTCACATGGAGCCAGATGGGGCCATATGGGGGTTCTATGGGCTCATAAAAGGGTAATATCGGGATCATAAGAGAGTCATATGGGTGTCAGTATTCAAAACAATAAAAAATAAGAGTAATAAATTTAAAAAATAGAGAATCCATTCGGAAGCATATTGCCAATTTGTTAGCAACATAAGCTATACTCATACAGAAAATGCGATTATCCACTTGTTTTTTACGTATTTGGACACTTCTTTTCCTTTATGGAACAATACGTGACCATGATGGTGGTCCTTTTTCGAGTTTTCAGTAGTAATACCACGAGACCTCCAAAATTATCGGATATTTCCCGATTGTTTTATTGCGTAGCAACGAGAGGAAAAAGTGTTACAGATTAAAATCCCGAGGGCGCAGCGCGAGGATTTTTGTGCAAAATTTATTCTGATCATTCTGATCATTTTTCATCAAGTTATAGCACTTTTAGGCAAAAATTGTTTTTTTATGCTTTTACTTCAAAATCGACTGGGGCTAGATTTTTCTACTCTTTTGCGTCAAATCAATCGAAATATTGATATAATATCTTGAAGTGGATTATTCGTGCTTCAAATTGTGATGTATTGAACGTAATTTGATTGAATTTTCATTAAGTTATTTGAGATTGTTTGTCTTTTGAACGTCATGTCACCCTTCGCCCCTTTCATCCATTATTGGATCTTTGCCCTTGACCAATGAGAATTTATGATGCATTTTAAATGCATTTTTTTGGGATCGCGTATGTTTTTTCTCACTCCATCCACTTGATCAAACGTTACGGGTGATTATATGAAAATTGCCAATTTTTTTAGTGTTTCGTCCTGAATTACAATTTTTGGCTAAGTTATTAGAGAAAATCTGATATCGGGCGGAAAGCTCATTGAATAAGCTTCGAATTGAGACGTTATTCGTTTAATTCCGATCCTTTTTCAGAGAGTTGTGGCAGTTTTGCTTCCGAATTATAAAAGCATTATATTCGTCAAATCGAAAATTTCCATTTTTTTGTGTCAGGTTGACTAATTTTGATCTGAGGAGTTCGAATATGCTGTTTTGAGATCACGTCCATATCTATGTATGTATGTATATATGTATGTATGTATGTATGTATGTATGTATGTGTTTTTTTTTCCTTGGTCTGTTGGGAGAATGCATTTACGCACAACGACCTGAGGGAGGGGATGGATGGTTCCCTCCGTCAGGTGAGTGTCGGACTCGGACATACTCTCAATACCGACTAAACTCTAGTCAGACCAGTTTATTCTCTTACTGACCCTGAGGTACTCCTCCGGTGACTGCATATTCCTTGGGGCCATCCTCCGTATCGTATTTTAGCACTCTATTGGTGAAATAGCTAGCTACCATCCTCCGTAAGTATCCAGGCACATTCATTGTCTCAAGAGCCTCCATAATGCAGTCCCACTTGGTGTATGTCTGTATGTATGTATGTATGTGAGCTTTTTTTCCAATTTAGTTTTTCGACGATCATTCAAAAAATAATCATCGTAATCTCTTCAATTATCGCTTAAAATATTCCTTTGGATGTTATTTCGGTCGAGTTCGAAAATAGTGGCCATCGCATTATTTTTTTTTTAATTCTAGTCTCATTTGGGAGGCAATCTTGGGCCAACATTGGCCCGCCCTTGGTCCGACATTGGGCCGCCCCTGGCCCGACACTGACGGGTCAAGTCACAGTCAAGTCAAGGTCAAGGTCAAGTCAAGGTTGACCTTTCCTACTAATCTGAAATTGATAACAAAAAACCGAATATGCACTTTTTTGTTTTAATTCGATTAATCCATTCGGAAGCAAATTATTTACATATGTGCGATGAGCCACTCATTTGCTTAAATTTTATTTTTCATCTTTTATTTGAAAATTCAACTTTGGCTGGCTTTGTCCATTAGAAACAATTTGAAAGGCATTATTCCTTCTTCAAATTGTGATGTATTGGATGCAATTTGGTGGAATTTTCATAAAGTTATAGGAGATCTTTTCTCTTTTGCACGTTATGTCGCACCTTGAATTTCGATCTTTTCATCCATTATTGGATCTTTGCACTTGAGCAATGAGGATTTATTATACACTAAATTGAAGATTTCAAGTAGATCTTTGAAATGACGTGTGATTTTTCTCACTATATCCATTTGATCAATTGTTATGGGTGATGATGTGGCAATTCACGATTTCTTTCAGCGTTTTAATGTTGGATTGTTGTCATTCTCGCCAATATTCAGTGGCATTATAATGACGTCAAGAATTAGTCGAATTTAAAAAATTGATTGAAGAATCAATTTCATGCAGCCTGGCTAGCGCGTACGAAGCGCGCGTCTCGCCCAGTTTGTGAAAAAAATTGAAGTGATATGATTTAAATTTAGAGTCTATCGGTCAGTGGCGATGAGACGTGCGCAAGCTTCGGAGAAAAAATCACCATTATCAAGGTCATTTCCGAATTTCGGATCAATATTGATGTTTTGGCGCAATCTTTGCCATTCAAAGGTAAAAAAAATTAGATTTTTGAAATCAATTCCTCCACCTATTGTTCCGATTTAATTCTCAGAACCTCGTGAATTTCGAACTATGACTCCTGTTCGCTCCCTCTCATTGCCCCTCATAGAGTGGGTTCCTCGTTGCAACTTGTTCGCGATTCACGTCTTATTTTATTACCTGGTTCAATTTTTTTCCGATGCCCGGAGGCAATTGCGTAGATAGGTGAAACCGAAAATTTGAAATTATTTAAAATTAATTGAAATCATGTGAAATCATTTGAAATCATGAAATCAGGATCAAAATCCTATGAAATCACTTTGAAATCAGCAATCATTTTGTCACGATATTCGGTAGTGAATAACCCCTGGGGTCATGGAGGCGGGAGAGGAGAATTGTATTTTAGTTCGTTGATTACGACCGTGATTAAAATTATTAAACTGCTTATGGCCGATTTTAAGCACTTTAATAATGAGGAGAATTGTAACAGACGTCATAAATACCTCGTCATGTAACCGTCAATGACCCATGCGACGCATTTGCATCTCTGGAAATAATATTGTAGTAAATAAGACAGTTTTATTTCATTAAAGGGGTGGATTTATTTTAATGATAGGAAGAGAGAGACAAATTCATTCATGTCAGACAAAAGACCAACTCCATCGCAATCAATACATCATTCAATTGTCACTCGATTCACAAGTCAGGAGGAGGGAAAGGGGTATTCACTCGTTCCAAGCTTCTATAACTATATAATCTGTACATGTCTCTCAATCATATTACTTATATCTGTAATGAAAATAAGGGTAAAAAAATTTGAAATTTCAGATGTCAAATTTCGAATATCCAATTTCAATCCTTCACGGAACACCGGTCCATTTTTCCCCGCGGTCCATTTCGCCCTCTGGTCCATGTTGCCCTATTCTCCCCAACATGGGTTTCATGCAGGTCATTGTTGTGACATGAAACAAAAAAATCAGAGTTCCAGAAGTTTTATTTTTAGAAAAACTGGAAAACGCTCGATTTTACTCAAAATCCACTCTGGTGTACTGCATACTAATATTCATCGATTGAATGCAAAACAATCCAAATCGCTTCATTTCTACTGCAAAAATGATCGAATTAGTCAAGAAAACATGATTTTTGGCGTTTTTTCACAAGTTTTTTGCGAATTACTAGAGAATCGCTGAGACGATCGTTTTTACAAACTAGTCAGTTCTAATTTACACAAAGATGCGCCGATTGGAAAAAAAAACATTTTAATCGCATCATCCGTTCAAGAGTAATCGTCGAGCAAAATTTTGTGCACACACACACACCCACATGCACACACACTTCAATTTTCCGAGTCATTACTATAACTATCCGATAGATCGCTCCTACAGCTCTACAGCCACCCTCCTCCTCCATATAAACGTTCTCTCCGTGAATCAAGGCCTCCATCTATATGACCCACCCACATAAACCATGACCCCACTAATAAAACCCCACTTTAAAAAACCCCTCATATAGACCCCCTATACAAAAATCCCTCCTTAATAATAAAACTCCCCTTTCACCAAACGCCCTTTTTACAAAACTCCCCAAAATTGGAAACAATTTCTAGATTTTTGAAAATTGTTCTTTCTAAAATTAAGAATATTTTGGCTAAAAATTGAGCCCAATTTTGATTGATAATTTATTCGATTTTTTTTCGAGAACTTGGAAAATGTTTTCTAGATTTGAGAAAAGTGAAGGCTAGAAACCACGGTTCATAAAATCTAGAAACTTTTCTAAAGCTAATCCACTATTTCTTTCTGTGCAGAGAAAAACCTCAGATCTGAGAAATTTTACCTGAGATGCACCAGTGGGGCGCATCTTGACTGGTAACAACCGCGGTTTTTCACTGTGAAAACCTACGCTTCTAATGGTTTTCTCAGTGAAAACGCCGGCTTTTGCCGGCTGAGGCGCGCCTCACCAGTGGATCGTATGGAAAACAGTGTTTCCTTTTTTTCTCTATGGATACTAGAAATGAGACTGAACATGACTATTCACTCAAGTAGCAAGTTTGACCGCTGCATTTCAATATTCTCGAGAGCATCAACTGCGTGAAATTTGTGCTACTGCAACCTTCATAAATTCATATATCATCCGGGAAGTTCAAATCACCATTTTCAGGAGACATTGTTTAATTATCAAGTAAAATCGTCAATCCACCACTTAGTGGTTCAGCTACTTAGACAGAATCAGGCACAGGTACATACACCTTATTATACCTTATATACCCTTTCGGGATTTTACGATATGTCCCTTTCTTACCCCCCTACCCCACCTTCACCATGTTTTGGAATAGTTTTCTCTCCTTCCAACTGTTATCAAATTATGCCTCTGTTCCAGTACAATAAGTTCCCTACTATATCAACAGTTTAAAGCTAGAATAGATCTCTCTATTACTCCTTAGAATGAGACCGTATGCACCCTTTCCACTAACAAAGCCCCGCCCAAGTGTTACCATATCGCTCCCAAAAATCACCCCACTAGCAAACCTCCCTCAGTCCTATAAATAACCCGCGTGGAATGATTAACGCAAAAAATTCTATCTCAGTCTCACAACTTTCTACAAATCAACCCGAACAACCAATCCCTCAATAGAGTAAAATGGAACCTAATATAATATTTTTCCCACTCCATTGATTATCTTCCGTCGATATATTCTCCCCTCTTCTGAAAATATCATCAATTCACTCTTAAAATCTCTCCTGAAAGTCTAACATCCGTAAAGTGAAGATGATAGAACACAACTGAACAGAAAACCAGCCAAAAAAAACATTGTTTTCGTTGTTTTTCCCCTCGTTTATTTTTTCCACTGTTCCGTTTTTCCCCTCCTCGCGCACGTCGTTTAACTCCTGCGGAGAAGAGGGGTGAGGGGATATCCACAAGGAGGGATGAAAAACCCCGGAAAGGGGTCGAAAAGTGTCCGCGTCTCTCTCCCTCCAGTAGAGAAAAAGAGGGTGGCAATGTAATGGGTGGGAGAGGTTTTCGCTCCAACCGAGGGCATCGAGATATGCGTACGGACCGTTAGTCGCCGGCCAGTTGTCGGCAAAAGCTCTCCATATTCGATGTTACCATCCCTCCAGAATTGATAAAGGAGAAGCAAAGTGAAAAGAACCTGTGTTAGCAAATAACTCCCTACTGTCTTATAGTGAAAACGTTTGGAATTGTGATAATTTCCATCCTAATGGACAGGTTGCCATTATTACCCATTAGAGGTTAGAATTGAAACTGAAGATGTAAACCGTGATATGTTACAAAGTGAACAAAAAAACTAGTCGACGTTTTCAATCGGAGTGTTCCATTAATGGTTAACGGTTATCTGTCAGCGGAGGCTGGACACACTTATTCATCCACTAGAGATAAAGCAAATATGTTCTACCGAAAATGTAGGGAAAATACAAAGTGGACTGGGGAGAACGCAGTGAAATTATAAAACCGTATTTAACTGAAGGAATCATCGTGATCGAGATTCCAAGTACAATCCGTTCTGTTTCGGTTACTGTGGGTAGAGCATCTTGAAAAAATAAGAAAATGAAACAAAATTGGAAGAAAAAATAAATCAGAGAGTAAATGCAAATTGTTGAGGCTCGCAATTTGCTAAGTGACACACCAATCCTACTAATCTCTGCAGAATATTTTTATAATTATTGTTCTGCTTCCTTCCCGAATTCATTCTCCATAATATTCTCATCTGTGTCACTCATTATGCTCACGAATTCATCAACAAAGAGAGGGAAAATTTATGAATTGAATCTAGTGGAATTGAAAGGGAAATGGTATGATTGGTTTTTCATATACTGGCATATAGTTGATTGGGTGTATTTCAATAATATTTCATAGTTGATTGGATTTCAAATCTTATGAACCAAAATCAAGACAGGGAAAAGTGAAAAGGTAGACAACTTTATACATTACGCTGTGACGGTAATCGTGGATTCTGTTGCCACTAATCCCTCGGACATATCCAGGAGATAATTCTAGTAGGTCGTAAAAAGTGAGGCAAAGAGTGACGTACATCCAATTGGTGCGGGCATCTCGAAGGAGTAATTATAGTCTTTCAGAAAAATGATGGATTCTCGAGAGCAACGCAATAATACAAAAAAAAATTAAGATAGAGAGAAGAAGCCCTCAATTTCAAAGTCCAAAACAAGGAATCAATACTATTGTCATTTGATGCGGAAGAAAGACAAAAAATATGCGAGGAGAAGAGTGAATGATACAAACATTGGGAAGACACCTGGATGAATGAGCGAGAGAAAATTACAGAGATAAAGGGAATGTACGCCTTTCAGTTACTGTTAACGTGACTTTAATCAGTCGGCGAGAAGGCCTCCATCCCCTTTCCTCTCGCGAGCAAATGAACACCACGGAATAAGAATAAATGAGAAATACATACCTGGAGCAAACGACGAAGTGGTTTATGGACGTGAATTAAAAGTCATTGAACCAACGAGAAGGCAAATAATTTTTTTTCTGTCGTGATTTTCTTAATTTTCTTTTACCATTAACTTTCGGAAAAACAAAATAAGGGAATGTCCTCAATACTAAAGGAATATAAAAAGAACTTTTATTTCAGGGAACCATACAGTTTCTTTCCTCCCTCGATATCAAAATGATGATGTCTGTTGCGTGACACAATGTCAGAAAGAAGAAAGGCGGACAAGAAAGCCGTTAGTATTTTGTATCTCTTTGAGTTGGCATGGAAATGACGTCAATGAGATGAATGAGAGAGAAGAGCTGTTTGATAGTAGAGGAAAAATGAAGGGAACATTTATAACGAAGAGAATAGTAAACGTGTGATTTTTTTTCATGGTTGAATATGTTGTTTCCCCTGAATCGTGTGACCATCGATTTCTCGATAGTATCCGGCCGGTGATTGCCAGAAGGCTGGAGAAGAGGTGAATAATCGAGGGCGGGGGGGAAGAGTGGTTTGAGGAGTAGGCAGAAATCGAAAAGTAACCGGATGCGTTTGAGTTAACTCATCCAGTATCCTTCAGTTCCAGATTTGGGATAAAATTTAATAAAGGAAAACTAAAACAACAAGAACATATTACAAGTGGATCAGCTTGAGTATTATGGACAAAGTACTGATCTTTTTGGTGGGAAGTAATTCCAACGATAGGAGGAATAAGGAAATGTTAGGAAGCAGAAAGGAAATTCGAGAACGAAAACCATCTAAAGGCCAGGCGGTTCTCATCCAGGCTAATGGTACGTCTGAGTGGTGTGCCGTCACTTTGAAAAATCTTCAGAAACCAGCAGTATCCCTTTTAGCCCCTCTCTGGGTGCTTTACTGAGGACGAAGAAGGTAGAGTACTTTTTCACGAAGAGAATAAAGGCGAGTTTGAATTCTGCTTGTTCTCCTTTCATTCTATTTTTTTTTGCGTTTCTTCATTCGTTTTTTTCTCCTTCAGGTTGCCTCGTCCAGAAATAAAGTTCACTCATCGTCGTGTTCAATTTAAATCGATATAAATGCGGCTGAAAGAGTCACATGGTAACTAGCAGCCTTGGTATAATTATGAGCTGAGTGGAGCTTTATCTTGAGAAAACAATAGAGCTCTAATCGGGGAGAGAGGAGAAATTCAACAAATGTCATCCAAGATTTTCCTAGAATTTTTGGAATTGAAAAAATGGAGAGCTAAGAACTTGAGAATTTAATGCAATACTCAAAAGGAATGAGAAGATAGAAGAAACGAGAAGATAATAGTCTAGGCGTTCGTTATCGCAACTGATAATTAGGAACTTCAGCGAGTTGAGACACGGATCATCCAAGAAACGGAAAAGGAAAAGGAGGCGCTCTAAGAAAGGCTTGAATACATTGGAGAGCAGCTAATGGCGCGGAGAATAAACAAGGAGAAAAGTGAAAAATGAGGGGTTTGAAAATTTGCACCGAGAAATCATAAATTTACGGAACTGAAAGTACGGAGAATACGAATGTAACATGAAAAAATTGAATAAAATCTCAGGGGAAATCTCACTATTGTAACTGACGCGATTCGATTTTCAGGTTTTTTTGTTGGAACACGTATAAAGAGGATAGGAGGGATTGGGGACTTTGATTATCCAACAATAAACGCATCGACCTCAGTTGACACATCGCAAATGTGATCCTAGCGGAGTGCGGGGTCAAGGCGCTAAGCCTGGAAGACTCGTCAGGCTTAGAGGGTGATAAAGGATCAATGATGAGAATTTTCTGTGTTACTAACACACGGAGAATATTATACGGCGTTAGGACTCATATACGTATTCATTTGTTATCAATGATGGTTTACAATGGTTCTTGATTCAGTGAAATAATATCAAACACTGTGAACCGTGTAGACATTCTCCTGAGTCCAGTCTCTACGAAGAGAAAAAAATCTATTATCAAATAATTAAACATGGTTGAACGTTGGACACTTATTTTACCCCTGCTGAATGTGTTCGTGTATCTTCAGAGTGGCAGGGTAACATCAAAAACAACGCCAGAGAGAGAGGCCATTCTCATACCTGGGGATATAGTTCTCGGTGGACTTTTTCCCGTTCATGATAAGGGAGAATTTACGTGTGGATCCAAAGTTTATAACAGAGGAGTGCAGAGACTTGAGGCCATGCTTTTTGCTGTTGATCAGATTAATCAGGAAAATAAAATATTGCCCGGTATTTCACTCGGTGTTCATATACTTGATACGTGCAGCAGGGACACGTATGCACTCAATCAGAGCCTACACTTTGTGAGAGCCTCGTTATCGAATCTAGACATTAGTATACTCGAGTGCACTGATGGCTCAACACCTAAGGTCAGGAACACAGCCAGTGCTGGACCAATTTTTGGAGTCATCGGAGGATCCTACAGTTCAGTGTCACTCCAGGTAAATGGATGCAATTAAAATTTCTGAAGGACACAAAAGAGATGGAAGAGGTTTAATGAGAGGAAAATGGCTCAATTATTTTTAACTGGCTTGAATTTGAGTGAATTTGAGTAATTTCCGGAGAAAATTGTACATGTTTTTTATGCTCCTATACTTCACAGCCGATTTTCCCTACTGTTCACCATTTTTTCATTCTTCAGATATCAATCTAGCTCACATTCGTATTAGTGCTTTCCACAAATTAATGCAATCAGTAGATTTCGAGATTTTTAGCCTTTAGGTAATAACCAAATTGAATTACTTAATGTTCGGATGATGATTGAGTTTTCGGGCCTAGAACGTCATTAAACATGAAGCGATTTTGAAAATGAAGTAAAGTGTTGGAGCATGTGATTCGGCAAAAAAATTATGAGTTGCTTTTTGCTATGTAATAGTATTTTTCGTCACTAGACTGACGAAAACTTTTCTGCGGATATGAGTTCGCAGTCCGAGCCGAATCCAAGGATGGAATCATATGAGCTAGAAAAGTATTTTTTCTGTACTGCTTCTCACGATTTCTCGTCTGGGAATTGGTATTGCATACTTCCCAAACTCGAAAACTTGAAAATCACTACAAAAAAATCTTCTCCTGGGCTGCTGCGATGGGGTTTTTTTACTCGTGTGGTTGGCCAGTCCTCGCCATCGGCTCCGATGCCAACGCCACACGAGTAAAAAACCCCATCGCAGCAGCCCGGAAAAATATTATTTTCGGCCAAGTGACGAATGATGGTTTTTATCATGACGCCCGTAGGCACGAATTCACGGACGCGTAGCTCCATGTCCATGAATGCCTGCCTATGACCATTATGCTAAAAAATTTTATTCGTTACACCCCCAGAAAAACCCTTTCTACCTCATATGATTGAAAACTCATATTGACCAGAAAAGTTTTGCTTCGGCCTAATGAAGGCATTGACTCTATTTTAATTCACTCACATTCTCTCTATGACTGAATTTTAATCGGATTGTTATTCCGACCGTTCTAAGCATCCTCCTCCGCTAACGCAATTAAAAATATTTGGGCCACCATTTCATCTCTTCAACTGATGCCACAATTTCTAGAATTTTTTAGTTTTACGAATGTTTTTAATTAAATTGAATTAATGACTACTTTTATTTTCAAAACATATCCAGCTTTCATCAAAGATGATGCAGTAGTTTCCTTCCAGTTCCTCAAATTAGTTGAAGATGTATGGAATTATGTTTTCTATCATTGTAACCGATGCTTAATTTTTCAAAACATTTTTCTATCCCAATTTTCAATTTCATCATATCACCTTAGGGGAATAAAAGTATGAGTTGTCAATGTAGCTCCTGTGAAAAATAGAGCAAAATAGCAACGAATATAATTCACCTCGTTTTAATTAAATTCTCCGTTTGACTTGATGCATTATCGCCTGACCAGGCACGAACGTTTTCACTGATTGCCCTCTAAGAGGTCAGTGGTACACAGTAAAAAATCCGGTGTTGTTTTGACACCAAATCGGTGTCCCAGAAAGTCCATACCGTTTCCAGTGTGGACTCGCGGTGTTAAAAATTTGGTATGGAGCGTAATTTCGGTGTTAACGCTAACACCGAGGAGGTGCAACGGGTGACACTGCATGGAGTGAATTATAACACCGTCTCGGTGGGAAGTTAACACCGGATAAGTTACACCGGCCGTTTACTGATCAACACCACGGAAGGTGTTATTGAAGGAGGCGATTCAGTAAGATTCTTTTTTCATTTCAAAAGCGAAATTACTCTATACAGATGTGACCAGTAAACACTATTGGATTTTATGGGAATAAATTATCTAAAGGAAAATATGGGATCATTGACAGTAGGGTTAGAAGGGTTTGAAAAATTGAATAAGGTCAAAGGTATCTGAAATATCTTGTCACTCTATAGCCAAAGGGGCGTAAGCGCCATTACTTTAAGATTTTTTTTGGAAATTCAGGCGGCCGTATGTCTCTTTTTGATCGTGAAATGGCATTAGCTAAATTCTTCAAATATTGTTTGCCAATCAATTATAATAGAGACAAATGGGCGCATGTCCAAATAATTAGAACGGAAGGGGCGTATCTCCAAGACATACGCCCCTTTGCGTTTCATCTTCTAGTTAATATTCCGGTCAGCACGATCAATGACAAACGGGCGTAAGTCCAAATAATCACAATCGAAGGAGCGTAACTCCAGAACATACTCTCTTTCACTTTTAATCTCTAAGTTGATATTCTCGTCCATATGATCATGAAAAATTACAAAGGGATGTACCCCCAAAGTAGAGGTTTCTCCATTTATTTTCTGTTCATTGCAATTGATTCCACAATTACACGGAGGATAATGAGTAATTCCTTATTTCTTCCAGAATTTTCTAAATTTTGATAAATTAAGACTTGAGGCGTAAAATGTGTTGTATTTCTTTTATGGATTTAAACAAAAATGTCCTGTGTGAAAAGAATTGAAATTTCATGAACGTGCAGTTTTGTAGTCATTTCCAAGGGGATGACATGAATTTCGATGAAGGGAGGAAAGGATTTCACAGATGGTTGAAAGTCAAATTCGACAAGTATTATTTCAGCAATGATTCTCGGGAGAATATAACTTTGGAATAATCCATCGATTGTCTCTTTCCGTAATGACAAATCGGAGGCATACATGGGAGATATGCTCCTTTGGTAGTCATTTTATACAGTTCATGGTTTTTTCCAAAGTGTATGACTGATAATGGCAAATAAGTATGTAAGTGAGAATTTACGCACCTTAGAAATCTTTTCGTCAATGGATTTTCGCTTGGAAATTGAATATGGGCCATTCCGCCAAATATCGTACGAGAATGCGGCCTCAAAATTGACGACTATTTTTTTTTACTTTCTTCTGAATACTTGTGTATAGAAAAGAAAATTTCTTGGCTAGCAGAGATTCCGCGGCTTAAGTAGAGGCGCCCCGCGTCATTAAAAAATTGAGCTCAAATTTCTTCGCTCTTCTTTAACAGGTTCAAAAATGCTTTAAAAAAATTCAAAAGATGAATTTTAATCGGAAATTTTCTGAATTTTTAAAAAACGGCGGTCATTTTGTTCCCCGACTCCAACTTCATGGTGAAAATCGAAAAATAAAACTTCGTCGTTAATTTGAGCCCGATCTCCACTTTTTTTCCCGAAATCGGATATTTTTTTCAAATTAACGTGTGAAGTTTTATTCTTCGATTTTCACCATGGAGTTGAAGTGAAGGAACAAAATGGCCGCAATTTTTTGAAAATTTAGATAATTTTCGATCAAAATCTATGTTTTTAATTTTTTTTAAATCATTTTTCAATACGTTAAAAACGAGCGAGGAAATTCGAGTAAAATTTTGCAATCATGCGGAGTGCCCCCAATGAAGCCGCGGAATCTCTGCCAGCCAATAAATTTTCTTTTCTATAAATAAGTATTCAGAAGAATAATAAAAAAATCGTCGAAGATTTTGAGACCGGATGCTCCTACGATATTTAGCGGAATGGTCCATATTTATTCATTCATTGATTTATTTATTCGTTCAATCACTACACATTGTAGTACATGGTATTAATTTGGTAGCAGGGTTCTTCTAGTCCTAAACAAAATGCAATTTAGTAATTTAATAATATGTGAGGTACGGATTGGAAATTGAATAAAAAGTCGAGGAAACATTGAAATGGGATTTACACTCTTTCGGCTTTCAAAAGGGAGGTTTTTGGCTTTTACGCTCCTTTGACTCTACAGCGATGATGTATCTCAATGATGTCAAATAGAAAAATATGGCCTCCAGGATCAGTCGAAAAGGACGAGCGGAACTATAGAAGAGGTGAAGGTTCTTAAATATATCCAAGTATCTTTTACAGCTTTTCAATTATCAAATTTGCCAATTAAAATGCGTGAGTTTACCTTCGTGAGAAACTTAGAGTTGAACGGGCTCAAATGGAAGCTCCCATGTTCAACTACAGAAATGAGAAGGCATTTTACTGAAAAAAAAATAGTCAAAGTACTTGGATATGATTCTCAAGTGTTGAACGGGATAGGAAAACCTAATAATCTCTGGAATGGAACTGAAGAGATTAATCGAATTGAAGTGATCGAAAGTCAAACGGCCTTAAAGCTCCAAAGGAGTAAATAAATATGGATTTGTAATAAATATAAATATCCGAAGCGATAGGTTTATATTTTTTAGGCATCGAGCGGCTGAACATGAAGTAGCTGAAGAAATGAACCTCCAAACAAACATAAAAACAATTAACCTTCCATCGATTTTTTTTTATTATTCACAATTATTCAACGTTAAAGTACAAAATGCCTAAGAACTAGAAACTTCTCATCGGTATCAAAACCTTCGTGAGCTTGATACGGTTGCTTGTGAACCCAGGAGCTCAGATTTACGATAGAAAAATTGTCTGACGACGATGAATGTATGTGATAAGCTTGGAGTAAATAATTAAACTCAGTTTCACATGTATTAACGATTGCATAGGGTATTTCGTCATCAATAAAAATGGACTGAATGAGGCTGAAGGTGATATCTTTATCTGTGTTGCCAATACACTGAGCGAAATAGAAGCCGGTTTTATAATGAAAAGAATAAGTCACGTTATTGACCACCAAAACCGAGCTTGCAAAATCGTGAGCGGGAGGAGGCAAAGAGTATTGGGACATCAGTTCGTTGAAAGGGATGAATTGTCCAGCCCCCGCAATCAAGGCGATTTCTAAATTCTTTTGATTTATTATCCAATTAACCAAAGTATATTTTTCGTGTTGATTTGCCAATGTAGTAGTAAGACTTTTGAATTTCTTATATTCGTTAGCAAGATCTTTGAAGTACTTGTGCTTGGCTTCGAACCTCATGCACCACAAATAAATAACTGGCCCCATCAATCTAATTAGCATAGGATAATGCACCATAAGGTGATGTTTAGGTAACAAATGAGTATTGTACTCCAACATAAATAATTTATGGTGCTCTTCGATCA